AAAAAAAAAAAAAGAACGGAAATAACAAATATGGTGTACCTTGCAGAAAACGGCGTACACTTATTCTGCAAGCAGAAACTAAAAACTAGCACTGTAGACCTTTTCCTGTAGAAAAAACTATATGAAAAAAAAATTAACATATGAATAATAGGCCTTAAAGGTTTATTTTTTTTAGTTAATTGCCTTTTTTAAAGGCTTTATTGAAGAGAACAACAAAGGTCTATTTTGACAAAAAATTTATAGAAAAATCAACGAAAAAAAAAAACTCATCGCTTTTAACTTTAGGAGGATAGTGGGCTGCGTCTTCTAAGCAGACAAAAACCCCACTATACCAGTTCATAGCAAAGTAGCTAGACGTCAGGAACAGACCTCGTACGAGAACAACTAGTTGAATACTCCAATTTGAAAAGAAATAGTAGTGCACCGTTTTCGGCTGAAATCACCCAGCAAGCCCCTCTTCTTTGAAATTTACTCAGCCACCCATATGCGAGTATACGTCCATTCACCTAATTGCTGTTTAGTCCTCTACCGAGATCGGTAACTTTGAATCCGTTTACATGCGAGAGCACATAATTCAAACACCACTTTTTTTTGATGTGGCTATAGAATCCTTCTCCCAAATAGCAATTTTTCGCAACTTTGCAACTACATACTCAGCTATTACTTCGTTCCTCAAAGTGTGAACATCAACAGCACCAAGTTACTACTGCTATTGCAGTTGGCCTAATGTCCTTTGGGGATGACCAAGTTGCTCCGCCCAGCTGGTAGAAAATGTACGCATTAAACGGGCGAAGTAAAGAATTCAAGAGCGCATGAAACGCAATAGAAAACGGTAGATATTCTTTTGTGTCCCAGGCAAAATCCTTGTGGAGTGTCTTGAACTCACAAGAAAAATTGAGATATAAGCCTGCTCTTAAGTATGATTTATTCTATTGCAGAGTCCCACCGAGTTGAGATGTTTCCTTTTGGCAAAATTCCACCGTCGTGTGCAAAACCTCTATTTTCCAGCTTCTTGGTAGTTGAAGTTTTCGGTGACAGGCGTGACTATTTGTATTTCAGTTATTCCTACATTTGGAATGCTTTGATTTATGGTTGTGTTTTGCAGCGTTTCAAAAAGTTAGCTTACTGAGTAGTTATGCTGGATTTAGTTGACGAGTCTCTTTTCCTTCTTTTTTTTTTCAATGACGTCTGCGCTTGTAGAATTGCTTTTCCACTCGAATACGGCTTAATTTTTAGCTTTCCTGCAACCTCCGGAGCGAGCAGTTTTAAAAATGGTAAAAGTTCGAAGAGTGCACCTCTTTGCTCACAAGAAAAATCCCTAACTACTAGGAGAAGTTTGCGCCTTGTGTGTTTTTTGTGCGAATACTATTTCAACAGTTTTAAAAACATTCGCGCAAGTTGCGAAAGCAGCGGAACAACTCTACTTTGTTCATGAATAAAGACTGTCAGGCAGAAGTGCCAGTTCATAGCGAAGGAAAGCAGACGCTTGAAGGTTTGGCAGTTTGTCAGGTCGGTGTTTAAATTTCGTTTTCGTTTTCACTTTTTTTAATGCTGCTATTGAGAAACCAATTTTTTTAAGGACTGCAAAAGACAGCCAGCAGAGAAGGGTGTCGGTTTTAAGCGAGATCAATGCTTGTTGCAAGTGCTGGTTAGTTTTTCCTGTTTATAGTCTTTATTATTTCAAAAAATGTGATATTTAGAACACCTGCACCGGAGATTGTAATAAAGCTGTTATTGTTTTGTACCAGCTTTAAATTTGGTTGTGCTTATTAAGGATTCTTCTCGTAAAGTTTTAGTTTTTTGACAGTTTTGAAACTCAAGAAGTCATCTTATGGTACCTTCTGCATTCAAAATAATAGGTTTCTCTTGAAAACATGTAATTTTAAAGTTAAAGCTTGTTTGTCTGGTATGGATTCGCAGTTTATCGAACTAGCAATCTTTGAATTCTTTCGTTTAAAAAAATCAAAAAGTACCTGTGTAAGAAACATTTACATAGTGTGGATGAGAGCATAATTGAGATGATGACAAATTGCGGAGGACTGTGAAGAAGCGAAGGTTCTGCTGCTGTTCAGAATTAGCACATAGTCAAAAATGGAAGTGTATGCGAGAGAAAAAGCAACATCTAGGAACTCGGGACAGAAAAAAAAAAAACAGGTTTCGATGAAATGATTAGTTATCTGGAGTTGGAAATGTCCTTAACATTTTGCATGGCGAACGGATTTGCAGGAGCCGAAAAGAATTGCATTATATTTCTTAAACCTGAGAATGGCATTATTTAACGCGCAAGTTCTAGAGGCTTTAGAAGTCCTGCATTAAAAATGAAGCCATTTCTTTGGACAACGAGAAGAAGAGCGAGTTTTCCAAATAACACTGAAAATAAATGACTGAAGAATGATGGTAAATTTTTTGATAGATAAATTAAGGTTGGCTTTGAGAGTAATCGTTCTGAAGTGTTGCTTACCATGGACGTAACCAAGTAATCTGTTTTGAACTCACAGTATAGTTGATGATTAATCAGATAACTGTATACACACTTGTGGGGAAAACTGCAGCAAAAATTCTTCTGATCATTATTTTGACCTTAACGCAGTTGGAAACGAAGTGGCCGGTCGTTTTTGGCAGCTGGTTGAAGCCACGACGAGAGATCACCCAGAAATGTTCTGCGTTTACGGACAGCCCTTCAGTTCATTAAATAAAGTGGGCACGTGCAGTTGCTTTGTTTACTCTGTTTTATCTTTGCTTGACCAAACCGACGCTGAGGCACTTTCAGACTCTGTCATACATGTACAGATGTAATCCTCCACTTTAGTAAAGTGAACAGACAGCGGCTGTATATAAGCATTATATTTTTTGTAAGTTTATATAGTTCAGCATTTGTGTGCATTTTTTTACAGTGTAGTTTCTACATGCCTGAAATGACGTCGTAGCCGCTTTTTACCACATTCCTAGTTTTCGATCAGTCTTGGCGTTAAAAAGGCAACAAAGTTTTTGGAGTAGAGTGCTTGCGGATGATATTCCAAATCACTTTTATTTCGATAGGACGGGAATTAAGTCTTCTTGGCTTTTCCGTCTATTACTCGCTGCGTATCTGTCCACACTTACTGCACAGTCAGTAAGAGTTGGTATAATGTATAGTGTTTGAGGAGTGGCATGCGTAGTCATTCTAGTGCATGAAGGGACTAGTCTCTAATTTTTAATTAGAAAGCTATGGTTCTTGGTAATCTATTTGAACGATGAAGAAATCACTTCTGGCTTATACTGCCTATATTAACAAACAATTTGATGATGTATTAGAGGAACATTCGAAAAACGTCTCCACAATTACTGGAAACCGGTTAAATCACAAAATTAAATTCTTTTGGGGGATACCACAGAACGGTGACCAAATTCATAGGGCTAGTCTTTTAACTCATAATTCCAGGTGAAGATGCTGGAGGAACATTTCAAGTTCTTTTGGCGAAG